TGGGATGAGACAGATCATGAGCGAGTAATGTCACTTAACAGAACTTTTAAAAAAGAGGAACTTCTTGACATGGATTTTCAAGCTTATTTGGCTTCATCTAGTGAAGAAGAAGAAGAAGAGCAGCAAGGTACTTACATTTATAAATGTTGTTCACAAAATCATTAGCTGCAGTGTTTAGAACACAAGTTATTTAAATATGTGTAGTCCATATTTTTAGAAAATGCTTTGGATGTTGTCTTTTACAGGGACAACATGGTGCTTGTATAAAAGCTATGGTCAGGTTTCACTGTGAAAATAACTCAAATTTCCTTCAGAGCTAAACATCTTTGGAAGTGACATATACTTATTTTATTTTTTATACTCTTTTTAATTAGGAGATAAATGGAATGATGAGAAAACATTGACAGATGATAAAATTTTTTACAAGATGCATAAGACTTTAAGTTAGCCATGTTAACATGGAAGCTGTAGACTTCTTTAAATCTACTGGAACTTGACATTCCTTTTTTCTTAATTTCGTTCTTTTTTTTGAGTTAAGTACACTTTTCCAGTGTTCTTTATATAGGATAAGAGAACACATGCGCAGGTTTTTAAAATGCTGTTTCTAAAGCCACAGTTGAGATTCATTATGCAAACCTGATTCTGATTATCCAAATAAATAGTACCACCCCAAAATTACTACACTCCTTCTGGTGACCAAGTATGTTAGCTGAATTTGGAGTTACAGCTTACTTGTAAGAAATGTTAATGGGTTTGACTTAGTATTTTCATTCAAGCTTTAAGATAGCATTCTGGTTTTCATTTTTGCTCTGCAAAAATCTCTTCAAGTAATAATGTTTGATTAAGCCAAACATAATGATTATAATTCAAGTAGCAAGATCACAGGTCATCTAAACTATGGCATATTTTCTTTACTGCTGATAGGATAAATCTGGTGAAGGTTGCTTTTCATTATACATTTGCATGAGTTCTGTATAGAGCATGGTGGCTATTGTGTTCATTCAGTGCTGAATGAAGATCTGCTGCCATTCTGTAAGGTCTGAGTAACACTGGTCAAAAATTACCAAATGGTAGCTGATTAGGAGTTATCCTCATGACTGAGCCTCTGAATAGCTGCTTTTTCAGTATGACCTTGCACCTCTGAGTGTAAAATCATTTCCTCTCCACAATTCTCCCCCCTTCTTTTTTTCCCCCCTTTCCACTACTCTTCTTTACCTTAACATTTCTTTATCACATTTGGCAATATCTACTTTAATCTCTTCTGAGGTAAAATTATTTGAAGTAGAACTGGAGGTGATTCTGTTTTACAGGAAGAGTCTTAGTAGTAACATCTTGCAAATTATTTTTTATTCACATACCTCTTGAGAATATAAAGGGAATGTCATCTAACTTCCTAAAGTATGTAAGTCTTGCCTGTGTGGTGCACCAGCCTGTAATTCCTGAATTAACTTGCTTGTTTTCACTCCAAGATTCAATCTCCTCTTAATAATACATATAGCCTAAATTACAGAGCAAAGAAAATTTCATTGTGCCTTAATCATATCTTTCAAGGAGATGTTGAAAAGGATTTATACAGCAGGTTGCTGCAATCAGAGAGGAGTATGGAGCGTGCAAAAGAATGTTACAGATTTTTCTGGTTACAGAGTTGGGAAATCTCCTGGCAGCAGGCTCAGCTTGGCAATATCTTGGCGGGGCTAATGTCCATTTGTTCCTCATCTCACATAAAAACACACTTATAAAATGCACCTCTGAGCTTTAGTTTCTCTAGTAATGCTTAGTAAAGTGTCTAAATGGGAGCAGTAGGTGCAGAGGAACACGTTTCCATCTTCTTATGTACAAGACTATGTTAAAGAATAGCATCTGTAAGAGGGTGCTGGTGAAAGAGAACATCTTTAAGTGAGCAGCACTTGAGAAATCCTAAGAAATAAACTTCCTTTGCTTGAGAGAAAAGAAATTGACCTTAAGTAATCTTAGCACAATAATAAATTCCAAACCTGCAAATCTAGAGTCTAACGATGTTTTGCTAAGTAAGCTATTAATAGAGGAATTATGTTATCATGTCTTTAGCATGTTCCTGACCTTTTATTCATTCAGGATGTGATACAAACCAGGATTCTGTCTGACAGGCTTCTGTCCAACAGAATTATGTGGCATGATGCACAAATGGGAAAAATCAATGTCAGCTGCTTGAATGGAAATGTAGGAGTGTGATAAGAAGGAAAAAAATGTCCTGGACTTTTACTCATGTTTTTTTAACTTATTAAAATGTTTTATTTATAAACAGGTTTTTGTTGGCCTGTTTTAATCTGTGGGTTTGTGGGTTTTTTTTTTTTTTTTTTTTTTTCCATGTATCTATTTTTCAAATTAAAATATGTGTGTCATGAATGTTGATATTACTATTATACAACAGTTTTGTAATGTCAAGTATTTCAGTGACCTGGTTTGTTGTGGTTCATAGCACAAAGTGTTTCCTTTACATTGCTTCTGAATTTTCTCTTACTGGGATGCATTTGTTCCAGATAGGAAGCGTTTGTGGCATGCATCAAATCCAGCCCATAAATGCTGTTTTGACCATGAGCACCAGTGACTTAGTGCATGGCATTTATAATAGTGCTTCAAATTAAGCATTGTGGGTTTTGTGCTGAAGCTTTTGTTTTGTGGGGTCTTTTTTTATCTTTGGAAGAGCAACATCTTTTCCTCTGTGCTGCAGAAACAGCAACCACAGAGAGAGCAGAGGCACAAGCACACGGAAAACCTGAATGCACTTTACCACAAAATTTTTTATCAGAATATTTTTAGTTGGCTATTCCTGATGATGCAATTATAGAGTATCCTGCCATGGAAAAGACCCAAATGGATCATTGAGTCCAAGTCCTAATTTCACACAGGGCAACCTAAAAGTTAAACCATGTATCTAAGAGTTGTCCAAGCGTTTCTTGAAAGCCAACAGTCTTGGAGGGACCTCTCTGTAGAGCCCTTCTCTCTGCTGTAGGAGTTTAAGCAGGGAGCACCATCTCTTGGGATATTTGGCTTTCAAGACAAAACTCTAAAAAGTAGACCTTTTGTTTTGCGCTGCTGCACCAAAGGGCAGAGAAAGGAAATGTAGTTGTTGGGAAGGAAGAGTTGCTGGGAGGAGTTTAGCTTTCTTTTTAATAGTGTTGCTAATCTTATTTTTAGTGATTTAATGTTAAATAGAACAGACTGCTTACTAGATCTTTTTAAAAGTTTTAAATCTATTTGGTGCAATAACTCTGACTACATATATAAATTTGAGTGCATCTTTAACAGTGCATCTCTTATCCCATGACAGTATAGCCCTCCTTGCTGTCTTAAAAATGAACAGTATTCCTATGTGTTTATATTTGCTGGAACTATTATGGAAGGTTAAGAAGTAGAAGATGACAGAAGTAGAACATGCAGTTACTTAATGTCCATCAGCCCAATGGGTACTTATATTTAAAATTGGAAATATATATAATATATTATTATATTATAA